AAGAAAGAAAGAAAGAAAGAAAGAAAGAAAGAAAGAAAGAAAGAAAGAAGGAAAGAGAGAGAGAGGAAGGAAGGAAGGAAGGAAGGAAGGAAGGAAGGAAGGAAGGAAGGAAGGAAGGAAGGAAGGAAGGAAGGAGACATTATGTGGAGCAGGTAAGGGCGACTAGAGGTGCCAGTGATGCTGGCAGGGGTCACAGCTGGCCTCCCTGCGGGGCTGAGACAGTGAGTTGTATGATTCTCCCCTTCAAGGACTCTACTGCACAGTCCTCTGGAGACTTTGGCCTGGGTGATGCTCATGCAAAGGTGGACTTGACACATAGGAGAGAGATTTGCCCCAACCAAGAATGAAGGTGCCCAGTGTCAGAGGCCCAGGATAGACAGGCTGCCTTGGTGTGGTCCAGCTTGGCCTCCTACACGAGGCAGAAATCCTCTGTGCAGCCTTCAAGCAGGAGGCTTTCTGCCTCTTCCAGCAGGGGTTGGGTGCCAGGAGTCTGGTTTCCCATCTGCCCCCACTCTGCCTGTAATGTCGCGGGCCTGGGCTGAGGTCATTCCCGTGGGCACATGACGGAAGTGACAGACTGGTGTGTTGGCAAGGGTGATAACAGATGGGAAGTACTAGTTCCTGGCCCAGTTTTTCCCAGACACTGACCGTGTGGCTGGAGCAAATACCTTCTTCCTCATGGGCGTACACTGTCCATTTGTGCAGTAATGAGGTTGCCCTGGATGCCCCCAGAAGATCCTTCTATTTGGGGCAATACTTTGATGCTCACGTGGGAAGTGATAGAACTGGCTCCAAAGTTTTATGAATATCAAAATGCATTTGTTTAGTCAATAATACATCATCATAATAATAGTAAAATTCATTTGTTTAGCCGATAAATACTGGGAATCTACTCTGTGCCAGGCATGCTTTCCGGGGATGGAGAAGCCAGGGTGGACAGGAGAGACAGAGACCTGGTTCAAGCAGAGGTGTGGTCACATGCCTGCTTCCTCCCCGTCTCCCAGTGTCGCCTTCGGAACCAGCCAGGAGCATGTTCCTGGCCCTGCTGGGCCACCACGTCGGTGCTCAGGTTTTTCCACAGAGTGCAAAGCCAAGACTTCCTTTCTCTTCTGGAAATCAGCTCTCCTTTGGTGCTGTTTCTCAAATTGTATTCATTTCCAAACCACTTTTGTGATTAGGGCTGAATTCTCATCCCTTTTTTACTATTACTCACTTAAGACCTATCCTTAAATCAATTCATGTTAAGAAAAGGAAATCTGTTTAAATAGAAAAACGAATATTGCAGTCATACATAGAAACTAGCACAACTCGCCACAGTACAAAGTACAATGCACACAACAAAACTAATGCGGTGACTAAATTCCACCAAGACTGTCGCGGGTTGCAGACTCCCAGCCTCTGGTTTGCTTACCCTTGTTAGAAAGGAAAGTCACCAAGTCTAAGATGGTGGTAAAGATGGGCTGGCACCAAGCCAAGACTCACTCCTGGGGGAGCTCAGAATGATCAAAAGAGAACTAGAAGAGGGAGGACTTTGCCACTGAGTGATTCCATGTCATGGGCAGAAACCACATGAGATTGTTTACCCTGTGAACAGAGCAGTCATCTCCCTGATCCATGGAATGCTTGGCCAACGTTGGAATGTTTTCCTGATTTATGTTCTTGACTGATTGGCTTTTCTTTCTTTTTTTTTTTTAAATTTTGGAATAATTTTAGCTTCAGGTAAAAGATATAAAGAGAGTCCACAGAATTTCCATGCACCCTTCAACAGCTTCACCTAATGCTAACATTTTCCATGACTATGACACATCAGTCATAACTGAGGAACCAATGTTGGTAGCTTACTATTCATCAAACTGCAAACTTTAGTTGAATTTCACCACCTTTTTAAATGAATATATTTTTTCTGTTCCAGAATCCAATACAGGATACATGTCACATACAGTGGTCTTTCATTTTAAGGACTTTGAGCAAAGGCTGGAGGTTGGTGGGAAGCCCTGGAGTCAGACAGGCGGAGGTCAAATTCGCAGCTGTGCCATTTATTTGATTTGTGATGTTAGGCATGTCATTTGGTGGTCCAGTCCTTAGTTTTGCATCTCTATGATGTGAGGATAGTAATTCTGATCTTTCAGGGTCTTCGGAGGATTCAATGCTATAGCGCACATGCACCCACTCGGCATCTGCTGAGCAGGTATCCATAGAGTACTGGCTTTTAGAGGCCTCTAGGGTGGGAAGGGCAGTCCACTGGATGGACTTCCATGAACATTGAATGTTCTTCCAGCACAGACAGATTTTTGATAGTTGTTTCTTTCACCATGATGTGAACGGAGGAATCACAAATTCCTGGGCAAGGCAGGAAAAGGGGCCCTCCAGGATGAAGATCCCTGCTGGGGTAGGAATCCCATGTGTCCCATGATGTTGAAATAATGACCCCTTGCCAAAAACAAAACAACAACAACAACAAAAAATAGACTAATTAACAGACAGACAAAACTCCTCAGGGTATGGGGTCCGGTCTGGATCTATCTTCCTTCCCCATCTCTACCCTCAGCTTGGTTCAGATTCTTGGAAGTCAGGTGATCACACTGGGCAGGCTAAGAAACAAACAGTGTTGCAGTAGAAGGGGTGGCAGGGAGCTGCACTTCCTGAGACAGATCCACGGTGGGGACTGCGGATCTCAGCTGGGGAGGCCTCTTGACAATCCAAAGGGTAGCCTCTAGCTAAGATGGCACTGCAAGGGAAGCCTTGAGGCACCCAATCTTCTCCACTCTTAGGAGAAACAATGGGTGAAATATTAAAATAAGTATTGAAATAGAAAAGTATAAAGATGCAGCCAGTTTCAAAAGTAGTATGAATATCTCCAATAAATCAGAAATGGAGCAGAAACATAAGAATGCTTGAGACAGGCAAGAGATCCTGTAGCCAGGGACCCAAGAGGATCCCAGAAAGGCCTGGACATAGCAAGAGAGGCTCCATGAAGGAGGATAGACTTGAGAGAAGGCTCCATTTTTATGGGCCCATGGGGAACTTCTCCCGGCTGGTTGCTACTCCAGCAGCCTTGGTTTTATGGATTTGGAGATAAATAGATCTTTACTTTCCAGGTGGTCCTGAGGCCCCAGGCACCAATGACCTCGGACCTAGTGGAAACCCTGAAGAGCTTCTCTCGGGGGCAAGGACAGAGGATGAGGTGAGGGTAGGGGGAAGAAGCACCCAGCCCTCCCCACTCTCAAGTCTTCTCATCTTTCCCTGAAAGATGTGATTGGGTAGTTCTGCATGTGACCTGGGAATTTGCATTTTAATGAGATCCCAATTAAGCTTGATACTTACTTCCAATACTTCTTCAGCCTGCCTCTCTGTGTTTCACCAACTATGAGTCTTTACAAAAGTGCCTGGGTGTGGGTTAGTCAACAGTGACTGGCCCTCAGGGTTCCCAACATCCCTCCCACTTCTTCCTCCCTCTTCACATTTCCATGTGTTCTGCTACTGCTTTCCCTTATCACTTGCTAATAAAAGTCCCAGCCCTGGAGGATGCCACACAAAGTCCAGACTGTCTAATCAGGGAGACAGACATACAAGTAGATAAACTGCTGTGGTTTGCTCCAGGTGTTTGTGAAGGGAGAGGCAGACTTTCTAGGGGATCTAGAGAAGACTGTGCAGTGGGTGCAGTGGGTGATTCTGAGCTGGAGCTGGCAGGATGAAAAGGAGTGTGTCAGGTAAGGAGACTGGGATGGGTGGTCCAAGCCAACTGAGAATTGTGTGATCTTAGAGAGTAGAGAAAGAAACAGCAGGTGGCATTCATTTCAATGCATTGTGTTTTGGCTTTTATTTAAGTATAGTTCACATAAAGTACACAAGTATCACAAATATTTCTGCTCACTGTTTCTTCAAAATTTTCTGTTCTCCACTCTCCCCAACCTTTTTTGCCTAGAACTCCAATTACACATATGTTAGACCATTGATGTTGTCCCACAAGTCACTGGGACTCTTTTTATTATTATTATTATTATTTTCCGGCTTGCTGTCTTCAGTTTGAATAGTTTCTATTAATATAATTTCAAGATCACAGATCTTTTCTTCCATAGTACTAAATTTGCTGTTAAACCTAGTCAGTGAATTTTTCATTTCAGATATTAAGTTTTTCATCTCTAGATGTTTGATTTTTCTCACATTAGAGTAACATTTTTATTATTTAAGCATATTTTAAGTAGCTGTTTTAAAGTTCTTATCTGTAAATTCCTTAATCTCTATTATGTCTGAGCCTGTTCCTGATGCTTAATTTTTGTTCTGGTCATGGGTCACATTTTCCTATTCTTAGAATGTCTAGCAATTTTTGATTGGATGCTGGACATCATAACATTACAATTTTATTGTCTGGATTTTGTTGTCTTCCTTTGCAGTGTTTGACATTTGTTTTAAAAGTCAATAAGTTACAGATCTGCTTGAACTTGTCAAGGCATGTTTTTAAGTTTTGTTAGTTGGGTCGAGTGCAGCTTTAGTTCAAAGTTAATTTAGGCATAATGCCAAGATGTGACACTTCTGGGTCTCTACTGAATGTTCCAGGTCTTTCTACTTTGGATGGTCATAACCTTAATATATCCTAATGTTTTGTGAACTCTGGGAATTGTTCTGTTTATACCTTCACGTTAGGTTTCTTTTGTTCTTCTGTGTGTATATGCACATTGACCAGCCATGGGGAATTTCGCTTTATGCATGCAGAGCTTAGCACTTAGCTTTGAACTTAAGGAGACCTCTATACACATTTCTAAAGCTCTCCTCTAGCACTTCACTGCACAAATTGTAGCTTCCTCAGCTTTCTCAAACTCTGATGTCTGTCTCCTAAGCTCAGCAAGCCTACCATGCTTTCCTTGAGTTTTCTTCAACACATCCAGAAAGTGTCCTTAGGCAGAAAATTGGGACAATTGTAGAGCTTATCTCATTTTTTTCCTTCCCTGCCTGTTCTCTAATGTCTGAATTGTTTTATATATTTTTTCAAATTCTCAATAGTGTCATAAATTTTGTCAAGTTTTCTATCTGTTTACAACTGTTTGCAACCAATATCAGTTACTTTGTATTGGCCAAAAGTGTAAGTCAACTCAAACTTTACATACCTACCTGCATAACTTTCCTTTAAGTAGCTACAGGACTTTTCATCACCCTGAGTTCCCCTTGCTTATTACCAGTCACATGTGAGCATCAAAAAACAGGGCAGAATGGCCTAACACACATGTCAAAGGCAAAGGCCTCCATGATCTGTGATGAAGTTACAGGGGTCAACAGAGCCCAGGCTATGCAAGTTAAGACCTCATTGTTTACTTTGGGAAATCAGAGGCTATTGAGACATTTTAAAATAGTAAATGACATAGTCAGGTTTGAGTTTTAAAAGACTATTCTAGCTGTCACATGCAGAGTGAATTGAAAGAGCAGGATAGAGTATGCAGAGAGAGCTGTTAGGAGGCTTTGTAGTATCCCAGGCAAGACACAATGACAGCACAACTAGCCTGTTAGAGTAGAGGCAGAGAAAAGTGGATGGACTTGAGCAACGTTTAAAGGAGGTAAAGTTGACAAAACTGGGAATATGTTGACATAAAGAAGAAGGAAGTACAGGGATGTCTCATAGGCTTAACTAACTAGGTGAATGGTAGAGCCAGTGATGGAAATGTTGAAAGGGGGTTTCAGCTGTGGCTGTTGCTGGGAGATGCTCTTTGGGAAGGAATCTGAGTTCATTGTGGTTCATACTGCATGGAAGGTTTATTTCAACATCAGAAGGCTATATCAAGTAGACAATTAGACATACAGAGATCAGAGGAAAGGACTGAGCTGGAGACTAAAAAGAATACTAAGACATTTGCTTGTCTTAATAATGAAGCCATGGGTATTGTGGCATGTAATCAGCTGGAGGGAGAGGAGAGATTAAAGTGAGGAGAGAGCTACAACCAAGTAAGCAAGTGCCAGGACTCGCCAACCATACAACGACAGAGCAGGAGAAGGGGAACCTGCAAAAATGGGTAAGGAGGAGGTACAGAGATATTGGGAATGTCTGAGCCAGAGGGAGGGACTGGATCAGAGCATGGTGTTCAGTGTCAAATGCTACTGGGAAGTCAAGTAAGATGAGAACCTAGACACATTAGTTGGCTTTTAGAAGCACCTGAGTCACATTTTTGTGGATACAGAAGCCAGGCTAGAGTGGACCAGTGAGTGAGTTGGAGGTAAGGCCACAGAGACCATGAATACACAGCTCTTGAAAATTTGGGCCACAAGAGGAGGAGTGTGGAGATAGAGCAGCGGCTAGAAGCAAATGAGAGGGTGAAAGGAGTGTTTTTGTTGTGGCATTGTTGGTCTCTTTGTCTTAACGAGCAAGACTTGAACATGTTTCCAAGCTAACAGCAAGAATCAGGTTGAGAGGGCGTGTTTAAGCGCAGAAAAGAGAGGCAGAAGCGTCCTGAGATGAAGAGAAGAGATACTTTCCAAGGCTCAGGAAGTGGGGCTGGTCATCAAAGGAGGGCAGATCAAGTAGGGATAGGCAGAGAGGATGCCCTTTTAGGGAAGTTGAGACAATTCCTTTTCATAGAATCTCTTTTATGTGAGATAGGAGGCAAGGTTGTCTGCCGTGTGTGTGTGTGTGTGTGTGTGTGTGTGTGTGTGTGTATGCATGCATGTGGGCACACACGCATATGTAGTAGGGTGAGCATCCATTCCACCCTGGAATAAAAAGGTTAAGGACATGGAAAAGGCGAAAGTATTCCCTGAAGTCAATGGGAGGGTGAGCTGATGAGTTACATGTTGCCAGGCAGATAAAGGCTGGTGTTTGGGAACCCACAGTGGACCAGGCTGCCTTACAGAAACCCTTGTCCAGCAGCACTTGGCAGGGAAGGGGCAAACAGGTAGGTTCTGCCACACGTGGAGACTTGCTGCTGGACCGGGACATGAAGACAAAGGTCTGGGGGTGAAGCACATTGGTTTAAAATGAAGCCCCTGACACCCAAGCTGGATAAAGAGGCAAATGAAGACAGGGGATGGGGTGGAATTGAGAAATGCTAACAACTGGGTCCTCAAAGGTGAATGGGGACGTAAGTCAGGGCCAAATAGAGAAGGACCTTGAATGCCAGGAGCTTGAGCATTTTTCCTGAACTCAGTGGGGAGCCATTGAGGAATTTGAGGTGAATGACACACCAGATCAGCGTTTAGAAAGCTCACCCTGTCTGCTGGGTGGATGAGCACTTGGAGATGGGAATGGGTGAGAGACAATGGAAGGTGGAATGCAGGCTGCAGTAGCTGGGAGGGAGAGGCCCAGAAGAGGTAAGCCCTGGGGATGGCAGAGTGTCCCTGTCACCCCAACGACGAGCAGAGCCCACTGGCTGAACACTCACATAAACCCAGGCCACAGCCAATAGAAGGGCAAGGGCCTTGGCAGGGCTGGGAGAAAGAAGGGGTGACCACAGGATGACAGGAGTTCAGGGTGGGGAGAGGCCAAGTATGGTGGATTTTAAAAGCCAACTGAATGAGCTCCAGCCAGGGTTTTCCCCCAAGAATGTAATGACCTGGGGGCCCTCAGACATAGATCCCAGACTCAGAAGAGAGGGGGGGCCTTTTGAGACCACCTCCTCCTGAGGTTTTGTGAAAAGCAGAGACTTACCTGAAGTCACATGGAGGCAGTACCATTAATGGGTCAAGACACTTACTAGCCAACTCCCCGACTTCAGGTGGATCTCCCCTACTCAACCCAAGCCCAGAAGAAACAAGACTTGGGGCATGGAGGCCATGTCTAATAGGCCATCTCTGCTGATGGGGATGGAGGTTCTCTGGGAGGGACAATACAGTGTCAGTGGGGGCCCCTGAGAACAACCTGCCCCAGCCTCCCCAAAAGGGGCACAGACCCCTGGTGGTTGTGGCATACCCCTGTATGTGGCTGATATCCTCTTCTTTCACCTGATCCCCTCTCCCATGGTTATGAGTTGCCAGGGACAATCAATTTCCTTCACCCTGCTTCCAAGGGAGGAATACAAAATCGTAAGAGCCACAAGAGAGAAGCAGCTTTGGTCTCCTGTCCACCATGGGCCAGATGCCACACTGGGCATTCTGTAGACATTGTCTCACCTCTCCTCAGAGCTGCCCTCCTTATAGATCCAGTTGATGCGGTTCAGAAGGTGAAGCAATGAAAGGACAACGTTATTCTCTAAACAGAAAGTACTGCTCTGAGGTTAGGAAGGTAAGCATGATCTTGCTTAGGCTCTGACTTCTGAGTGGCCAACAAGATCAAGTGCTGCCCTTTTGTGATTGAGTCTAGAGGGCTGCAGACCCCAAGTTAACACAGTAGACCCCAGCCTGTCACAGGGAAGCCTACAGATGTCACATTCTTACACGGCTTCCTGAAAAACCCCCGTCTGTCACAGAGCTCATCAAATAAAAGACACTCTAGGTTTCAGTCCCATGTTCTTCCAGGTGCCTTCCATTTCACCATTCCAGCCCTTTTTTTTAAATTTATTGTTTTTTTTTGAGACCGAGTTTTGCTTTTGTTGCTCAGGTTGGAGTGCAATGGCACGATCTCGACTCTGCAACCTCCGCCTCCCAGGTTCAAGTGATTCTCCTTTCTCAGCCTCCCAAGTTGCTAGGATTATAGGCACCCACCACCATGCCTGGTTAACATTTGTATTTTTAGTAGATACAGGGTTTTGCCCTATTGGCCAGGTTGGTCTCAAACTCCTGATCTCAGGTGATCCACCTGCCTCAGCCTCCCAAAGTGCTGAGATTACAGGCATGAGCCACCGTGCCCAGCCACCACCCCAGTTCTGAGGCTGGTATAAATGCTTCTCCATCTCACGGCAACACATCAAGTGTCTACTGAGCCCCTATAATGGGCACTTCCCTGTGCTGGTGGGGGAAGGGGGTAGGAGGACAGAAAGCAGTTGTGTAGAGCAGCGAAGAACACAGACAGGTGCCAGGATAGTCTTCAGAATTCTCTGCTGCTGAGGTTCTCTGCAGCCATCCCCCAGTGGGGACCGGGGCCTGGAACCAAGTCAGTATATCCCTGCCTGGGCCCCCTCTCTCTGCAGCCCATCTCTCCTACTCCCCAGCCCTTCCTGCCAGCCTCTCTGGTGCTGAGATTCATGTCACAGAACCTTTTCTGTCCCTCAAAGCTGCCTGGCTCTGGGTTCCCTCTGAGTCCTCCCAGCCAGAATCTTTCTCTTCTCTGCTTTTCCCCTATACTTTGCTAACATTTTTCAAGTCTCAATCAGCTGTCACTGCCTCTGGAAGCCTTTCTTGTTATGGAATAGGTGTGCCAATACCTGTACTTACTTATCACACACAAACACACACACACACACACTTGTGCCTAGTGGTGTTTGCTAATTGCCCATCTTCCCAGTCAGCTCCTTAAGGACCAGGACCCTGTCTCTCTGTCCCTCATTGTAGCCCCAACACCTCCTGTAGTACCTGCATAATAAGTGCACATGTTCAACACAATGGACTGAATGCATGAATTACACATTCAAAGAATCTAGAGGTTATCGAAAGGCAGGTGTGTGGTCAGTGATAATTCATCTGGTAATAGAAGTCGAGTAAATTTCAGAGATGGCAGAAGACAGAAGGGAGTGATGAAGTCATGACAGGGGAAAGGGACCAGAGAGGGCCTCTCAAGCCAGTAATAGCTAAGTAGAGTCTTTCAGAGTGAGAAACAATGGCTTTCCCACATGCAAAGGAAGGTGGCGCCCAGTGGGGGCATTTGTAGCCGAGTACACTGTACCTGAGCAGGGCATGGGTGAGTGGGAAGAGGAGGGAGGGAGGTGGACCCTGGGCTGTTTGCTGTTGGTGTTGACTGCAGAGAGACTGCAGATGAATACACGGAAAGGCAGTGGGGCCAAAGAGAGGGGAAGGGGTCAACGCTTAATGCCGTATGTCATAGGGTTCCCAGTGAGCTCCTTAAGAGCCAGGACCCTGGCTATTTGTCCCCCATTGTGGCCCCAACACTTCTATCTCCCAGCAGATCGTCTCTTCTCAAATTGGTGAAGTTTCTTAAGAAAAATATTTTGAGGAAACATGACCAGAGAAGGGAGATGAGTTCAGAAACCTTCAGGATTGTCCGTGGGGGAGATTAAGAGGGGCTGGACCAAGAAAAGGGCATAGAGATGGAGAGAAGCTGGGGCTTGCAATGTCCTGGGGAGGAAGAACAGTGTGGGGAAGGAGCTGGCTGCAGAAGGCAGAGTGACTATCAGTATCCTGACTTGGAAGACAACAGCATGGGTAAAATGGCCTTCTCAGAGAAAGGGAGAGATGCGGCACTCAGGGTGGGGGCAGATCCAGAGGTCAGTTCAGAACATGGGGCAAAGAGTCCAATAGGTGAATGGATGGATACAGGCATAACTTAGGGAAAAAACCCCACTTCGGTCAAACAGGAAAACACAAAACTACAAAACAGGACTCGCCCAAACACATAAATGGACATAGAGAGAAATGAACACTTTTGCAAAAGAATTATTCATTCAGCAAAAGGGTTCTTTAAAAAGTTCCATCTAAGTTAAATTATACCTGGTATAATGAAATATGATTCATTAGCATATTTCATTTCCACAGAGAAATTTTTGGGAATGTTGCTGTTACATGATGCTTAGTCTGACATAGACAAGTGGCTGTGTGTGCCAGTATTTCTGTCACTCTGGGCAAAGGTTCTTTTGTATTTTCCTTCTCCATTTCCGGCGAAATAATTGTTCACTTGTTGACTGAATTCTTGTTCCAGGGATAAAGTTTTTCCTTCACAATCAGGAGTAAAACTTCATGCCAGTGCCCCAAGGAGAAGAGTGGGTAGCAGTCATTCACACTGTTCTATAAATGACCAAAGAGCAAAGTTTGATGAAGGGCAAGGGGGGTTATAAAGGCACTGTGCTTGTGAAAAGGGTGATGGGGGGGAAGGACATCCAGGTCATGGGGGAGAAATTATAAAATTGGAGAGAGAAAAGCTTTCAGACAGATGTAACCTATTGGAGCATGTACCTGCTTTGCTTTCCCCTATGGCTGAGCACAGAACCCACCTTGCATTAGATTCATACACCTTCCTTCTATAAAATGACTATTTACTACTGTATCTCAGGATCAACCCACAGAGTTGGAGCTCCTCTGTAAAGGTGTGTTAAAGCAGATGAAATCCTTCTGATGAAACTGAACAAGTGAGGGTGCTGTAGGCAGGGCTGGTGAGACCTGCGAGCATCACTTGATAGAGTTACCCAAATCAAATTCTCTCTGACTTCAACAGAACAATGGTAAAAGTAATATATTGAGCACGCACAGTTTATGTGCCTTATCACACTCAATCCTCTGAACAACTCTGTAAGGTAACTAGCTCTGTTTTACAAAGGTGAAACAGAGAAGTCCAGAGAGGTTACTTGCTCACCATGAATGTCAGAGTAGAATGCAAGCCCAGCCCTGTTGGGGTTTGAAATTGCCATCAGGTCATTTAGTCTGAAGTCTCCTTGGCGTCAAAGACTTATCAACTGAGGCTTGAATGGGGAGCAGACAGATGTGGCTAGAGCTGTAGCTCATCAGCAACTGAACCCCAGTGCTCAGTGCTCCAGAGGACCACCACAGAAAGGACAGCCTTTTGCTCCAGGTTTCCACTTTTTGAGAGACATGAACACATTAGTAAATGTCTGTGTCTGGGAACAGAAAGCCAGGGTGAGAAAATAATCAGATCTACACAAAATGGATAAAGAATGTGTGGAGGGACCTCCGAAGGGTGAGAAACCACTTCTGGCTGCTAAGAGGGGGGACTTTGCGATCTGCTCTCACACTCTCAATTCTTAAGAAATAAGTCTATGAAGCAGAAACAGCAAAAAGCATGGGATTTGGAATTTGAGACCTGACTTTGAAGCCCACCCCAGACACAGACAAGTGAACGGTGTGATCTGCAGTAAGTTATACAGGCTCTCTGCAGCCTGTTTACTTATTTGCAAGTAAAACAAAAGCAATGATAATATCTACATGGTGGGGCTATTGCGAGGCTCAAAGGAGATTACATGAGAGAGCTCTACCAATCGTCCTATCTGTCCTCATTCTGCTGCTGATGGCATAGGTGTTGAAGGGTCTCTGATTCAGGGCCTGGACCCTCAGTTTACCCCTCAACGGTTCTTACCTCTCTTGCAGACGTACTTTGTTCCAAAATGGCATCTTCCTTTTATGGAGTTCTCTTTGCTGTTAGTCTCTGTGCTCCAATCTACTGTGTGGCCCCGGCCAATGCCCCCAGCAGATACACCCAGCCTTCCTCCACAAAGAGCATCCCTGCCTCACAGGTGTATTCCCTCAACACCGACTTTGCCTTCCACCTGTACCATAGGCTAATTTTAGAGACCCCGAGCCAGAATGTCTTCTTCTCCCCGATGAGTGTCTCTACATCCCTGGCCATGCTCTCCCTTGGGGCCCACTCAGTCACCAAGACCCAGATTCTCCAGGGCCTAGGCTTCAACCTCACACACACACCAGAGTCTGCCATCCACCAGGGCTTCCAGCGCCTGGTCCACTCACTGACTGTCCCCAGCAAAAACCTAACCTTGAAGATGGGAAGTGCCCTCTTCGTCAAGAAGGAGCTGCAGCTGCAGGCAAATTTCTTGCACAATGTCAAGAGACTGTATGAGGCAGAAGTCTTTTCTACAGATTTCTCCAACCCCTCCATTGCCCAGGCGAGGATCAATAGCCATGTGGAAAAGAAGACCCAAGGGAAAGTTGTAGACATAATCCAAGGCCTTGACCTTCTGACAGCCATGGTGCTGGTGAACCACATTTTCTTTAAAGGTAAGGATTTGAGAAGTTGATTTTTATTTCTTTATTTTATGATGAAGACGATGATTTTTGCTTAGTGAAATATGCAAGCGAGACAAACCCAAGACTAGTGGAGAAATGGGAGAGCCTGAGTTCTAATTAGCATTGCATTAGCTGGCTGCAGGACCTGGGATAGCTCCTCATTTAGTTCTCTTTAGGTAGACAGATTAGGTGATTTGAGGTGTTACATTTGACTCAGTGGGTGGCCCATAGGAGAAATCTGGAAACTACTTGAGAGAAAGCGTCTCTTGCTACCAGCAGCTGTCCCACTGCCCCTTGAAAGTTTTAGAGAAGGAACATGGAGCTCTCTGACCATGCAGTTTAAGAAGCAAATCCAAGAGTGAGAACACTTTCATAGGTATAGAAATGTAGACAAGCTGATGTGACTGTCATTCACACCCCATAGATAGATAGATAGATAGATAGATAGATAGATAGATAGATAGATGATGTTAGAGCTTTACAGTTTTCACTGTGTTGCCTCTGCAACACATCAGCTTTGAAGACAAACAACTTGGATTTGAATTTCACCTCTGCCCCATACTTGCTTTATGATCCTCAGCATATGTCTCTAAAAGATCTACCATGTGCTGAGTGCCTGACCTGTGCCAGTCTCTGAGCTGACTGCATGGTTGGATGATGAAGCCAACTTTATAGGGTTGTGCTTGAGTGGAAGTACCTGGGGTCTCTAGGCAGAGTTTTCTTGGGTGCCTTCGTATCATCCCTCCCTTCCTCTGTCCCTTTCCTCCCCTTCCTTCCTCCCTCCCTTCATCCATCTGTTCACTTATTTATCCATGCACTAGTTTATCTGTCCATCCATCCAGACATGCAGCCAGCCAACCAGCCAGCCATCTCTCCATTAATATGTTTATCTATCCATTTACCCATTCAACAAGCTATCCATCCATTTATCCATCCATCAGTTCACCCATCCATCCATGCATCCATTCATCCACACAGAAAGCCACCTAGCTAGCCAACCACCTATCCATTAATCTATTTATCTATCTATCCACCCATTCACCAAACTATCCACCCATTTTTCCATTTGTCATTCATCCATCCATCCATGCATGCATCCATCTATCCACCCAGCCAGCCAACCATTTATCCATTAACCTGTTTATCCCTCCACCCTCCATCTACCCATTAACCAAACTATCCACCCATTTGTCCATCTATCAGTTCATCCATCCATCCATCCATGCATCCACCTGGCTAGCCAACTAGTTAGCCACCTAGCTAGCCAACCACTTATCCATTAACCTATTCATCTATCTATCCACCCATTCACAAAACTATCCACCCATTTATCCATCTGTCATTCATCCATTCATCACACATGCATCCATCTATCCACCCAGCCAGCCAATCATTTATCCATTAACCTCTTCATCACTCCAGCCTCCATTGACCCATTCAGCAAACTACCCACCCATTTATCCTTCCATCAGTTCATAATCAATTCCATTCATCCATATATCTACCCAGCCAGCCAACCATCTATCCATTAGCTATTCATCTATCCATCCACCCTCAATCTGCCAAGTTATCAACCCATTTATCCATCCATCCTGCCAAGAGGAAAGAGAAAGAAAGAAAACTGATATGCCTTGAGCCCTTACTAAGTTGCCTTCACCCTATGTTGTTCTATTTAACTTAATTCTATTTTTAATTGAAATACAATTCACATGTCATAAAATCCACCATTTTAAAGTGTATAATTCAGTGATTTTTGGTTTTTACTATATTCACAAGTTTGGGCAGCTACTCCACTGTGTAATTCCAGAGCATTATTTTGTCACCTCAAAAAGAAACCTCATACCCATTAGCAGTAATTCTCCATTTCATTTTGCTGTCTTTACTTCACCAATTGCACTTTGACATAAAGACCTCTTTTCTCTCTTTGTGCTAGCCAAATGGGAGAAGCCCTTTTACCCTGAATATACAAGAAAGAGCTTCCCATTCCTGGTGGGCAATCAGGCCACTGTGCATGTCCCCATGATGCACCAGAAGGAGCAGTTTGCTTTTGGGGTGGATGCAGAGCTGAACTGCTTTGTGCTGCAGATGGACTATAGGGGAGATGCCGTGGCCTTTTTTGTCCTCCCTGGCAAGGGCAAAATGAGGCAACTGGAACAGACCTTGTCAGCCAGAACACTGAGAAAGTGGAGCCGCTCACTCCAGAAGAGGTAGGCCTCTATGTCAGTCAATCTGCTGGGCCCTGGGGCAGGGGACGCACACATTCAAGGATGAAGGAGAGATTGTGCCAACAGCTGTTAGATAATCACTTCTGCACAGTCAGCACCAACTGCATACAAGACAAAGAGCCTGAGGCTGTCTATACATGTTCTCACTTGAAGTTCACTATCACCTGATGTCTTAGTTCCACTCATTTCACAGATGAGGAAATGGAGGTTCCAGGGGGGTAAGCTAGTTGCCCAAGGTTATGTAGCTCTTATATGCTAGCAGAGCTTGCCCTAGAAGCCAATCTGATGTTGAATTCTATGGAATGACCCCATAAAAGCAAGCAAACAAAAGCATTGGTGGTCATGTATAAGAATGAGGATAACAATATTACCGAATCCAAAGGTTGGTGAAAAGATAAAGTAACCTGCTATTTACAAAGTGCTTAGAAGAATTCCAAGAAGATAGTAACTTTACAGTAAATGTTAGCTAGTAATGTTGTTATTAGTTCTGTAATTATTACGGATAATATCAAAAGTATGGAGAATATCAAAAAGATCACTCATGAGATAAAAAATGTCAAAGGTTTATGTTCTGTCTCTTAGCTATGTGATTGGCAACATAGAACACTTTTTAGCATCATTCTCTGGTGCTCATAGTCTAGGAAGAGAGAAGGAAGGCTGTAGCATAACCAGAATTCAAGAAAGAGATTGGGCAATGCCCCAGGGGAGGGCAGGCAAAGTGCTGAGGAGCTTCTGAGCAAAGAGAGATCACTTTCAGCTGGGATTCAGGGACAGCTTAAGGAGGTGGCGGCATTTAGCCCCACACGTATGGGTAGGATATGAGCACACAGAAGCATGGGAAGGGCAGCTTTGGTGGAGGACACGGCATCGGCAAAATCTCAAAATTAAGGATGAAGAGATGCTGCAGGGTGTACCAGCAACTTCTTCTCTTCTCAGGATGCATCCGGGGCTGGAGAGAGGAAGGGGAGGTGGCTCAGAGGCTGGGGAGGAAGGGATGAGCACAGAGCAGCAAATGGAGCACAGAGAAGACAGGGAAAGTGGACAGTGACAGAGAAGAGAGATCTGTCCCTCGCCTGTCAGATGAGGACTGAAATGTGTCCATCCAATATTTTTGTGCTTTCATTGCTGTGAGTCACTAAGTACATGACCTTGGGCAAAGCACTAAAACTAAGCTTTACCATCTTTAAAATGGGGGTAATGTTATTGAATGTGCCTGGGACAATGTCTGCCATATAATAAATGTTCAATACATGCAGGCTGTTTACTCTTGGTTCAGGGAAACCCTTGCAGAGGAACACAACATATTGTGTGAAATTATCAGGTGGTGGTGTTCAGTGTAGTAGCCACTAAGCCACATGCAGTTATTTACACTTAACCAAAATGTAGTAAAATTAAAATTGTAGCCCCTCATTTGCACGAGCCACTTTTCAAGTTGCTCAATAGCCACGTGGCTAGTGGCTACCATAGTGGAGCGTGCGGGAACAGGATCTTCCCAACATCGCAGGAAGTTCTGCTGGACTTTGCTCCTCTAGGGCGTCAGCAGGGCCTGTGTCAGGAAGTGCTGGTGAGGAGGTACTCCAGACAGTGGGTGGCTGATGAGCTTCCATTGCGACTTGATGTCTCCTGCTGGTTTCTGCCATAGACTCTTGCTGACCACCTTCTCACCTCTGCACCCACTTCAGTGAGGGGCCCATCTGTCTCCTTGTATGTCTTCCATGCTGGGCCTGCTCAGCTGGGAGGCTTACTTCAAGAGCAACCTGGGTTGCTTGGCTAGGATGTGTTGACCTTTTTAGCATCAACTAACAATGGCTGGAGGAAGAATGGAGTCTCCCAAAATGGCATCTAGGAGCAGAGATGCAGACACCACAGGCTTGTGACCTCATCTTTTCCTTTTCCCTACTCCACAGGTGGATAGAGGTGTTCATCCCCAAATTTTCCATTTCTGCCTCCTACAGTTTGGAAGCCATCCTCCCAAAGATGGGCATCCAAAATGCCTTTGACAAAAATGCTGATTTTTCTGGAATTACAAAGAGAGATTCCCTGCAGGTTTCCAAAGTGAGTTGAATAAGAATATTTGCAAAAAAGTCCAAGCTGCAAGCACCTGCAGAATTAATCAAGCACTCTTATTTATTGATAAGGAGACAGAGGCCTGGAAGGTGAAGTGAGGTTCTTCTGCGGCCAGAAGAACCAAACCTTGTGTGGCTTACGGCCACCATCCCTCTGGCACACAGCATCTGTTTTCCCTCTTCATACAAACATTCCAAAGGCATCCTCAGCAGGCAACTGCTCCATCATGCCTGCTGCAGGCAAGCAGGTGACCCACCGGGATCTGACCTCACCTTCTTCCTCCCTGAAGTTTAGAAGCTTACACAGGCATCACAGCCTGGCTGCCCGTAGACCATCTGCATCCTGTAGACGTGTTGTCTGGCCTTCAGTGTGTAAGGAGAGAGAGAAAGAGAACTTTTAAAAACGAGTATATTGAATCGAAAAGTCTAGATTTCTGATCCTCTTGAAAAAAAATCACTGAGTCCAATTCCCACATGGTAACAGTGAGCCCATGTTTCCACACGGCAGCCATCACTGGGGATGATGGTACCCTCCTGGTAACGTGGGCACCCCATGCTCTTACAAGAGGTCTCCCTCAGTTAATGGGGGTTACCTGCCTAGCCCCTGCCCACATATGGGTTACTGATCTCTGACCTAAAATTTTATTTTGGTAATGGATCATAATGGTCAGAAGTGAGCCTGGGACCACTGAAGGGGACCTTTGTTGTTGGATTTCAGAAAATGCGGAGAGTCCCCACTGGAATATGATGAGCATAATGGACTTCTCACGGAAAGTGCATCTGTGACCCCACAAAAAACAATGCCTGTAGTCACAGGAGCTCAAGCCTCCTTGAAGCTTAGAAGTACAGGAATTCCAGGTTAATACTCTCTTTCCTAGAAGACAAAGAAGGGATCTAACCTTGGTAATAACAAACCCATGTCTGCCACGCAAGAACTGCAGCAATTACTACTGCTGGCAAGTCTGTGAGCACGTGCTTTGTATGATCTCCTTTAATTTACACAATAACCTTGTGGGATACATGCAGGAAACTGAAGCCTGCAGCATCTAAATAACTTTTGCAACAATAAGTGGCAGAACTGAGACTCACTTGGATCTGTGAGTGAGTCAGTGTTTGTAACCATCTCACTCCAGGTATAAGGGCTAATGGGCCATAGTCAACACCCACCGCAATGTATTGAGCAAACCCAATGCCAGGCATTTGAACCTTGAATCTTTCCAAGGCAGACATCACCACTCCAGGGCAAAACACTCACTTTAGTTTACTCAGTTAAGTAAAATGTCTCCACTGGGGACACTGATGTTTGCTTTTTCCTTGGCAGGCAACCCACAAGGCTGTGCTGGATGTCAGTGAGGAGGGTACTGAGGCCACAGCAGCCACCGCCACCAAGTTCATAGTCCGATCGAAGGATGGTCCCTCTTACTTCACTGTCTCCTTCAATAGGACCTTCCTGATGATGATTACAAATAAAGCCATAGACAGTATTTTCTTTCTAGGGAAAGTGGAAAATCCCACGAAACCCTAGGTGGGAAATGGCCTGTTGACTGATGGCACATTCTAATGCACAAGAAATAACAAACCACATCCCTCTTTCTGTTCTGAGGGCGCACTTGACCCCAGTGGGACTGCATTCGCTGGCAGGGATCAATCACCAAACCATCAACAGGGACCCCTGTTGTCACAAGCCAACACCCATTCACCCCAGTCAGTGCTCTTTTCCACAAATTCTCCCAGGGAACTAGCTTCATGGGATGTTGCTGGGTTGGTATATTTCCTTTCCTTGGGGCTCTTGGGAATGAAAATACACCAACCCAGGCCAGGAACCTCTACTGCAGAATTACATTAACACATTCAATAAAACTAAAATATGAATTCACTTGTCACCAGGGTTCTAATCGGAAAGTGATTTACTGGTGAACTCTCAGTGGCAGGGTTGTGTTCCCATGACATCTCACAGGCTGCATGATTTTTTTCTTCATTTACTCAGCAAAAACTCATTGAGCACTTAATATATGTTAGGAGTAAATCAGACAGAGAAAATTCCTGGACTATTAGGCCTAAATGGGGGAGCCAGAACCCCCTGCAACAACAATAAAACCAAACCTATACACATGATTGTGACAGTTTATGTTAAGTGCCACGAAGGCATTGAATAGGATGACTGAGCATGAGGGAGGGAAACAAAAACAAAACTACAGACCAATATCCCTGATGAACATAGATGCAAAAATCCTTAAAAAAATGCCAGCTAACTGAATCCAACAACATATTAAAAAGATAATTCACCATGATCAAGTGGATTTCATGCCAGGGATGCAGGGATGGTTGTCAATAAATGTGATACACCACATAAACAGAATTAAAAACAAAAACCATATGATCATTTTAATAAATGCAGAAAAAGCATTTGACAAAATCCAGCATTGCTTTGTCATTAAAACCCTGAGCAAAATCTGCACATAAGGGACATATCTTAATGTAATAAAGGCTGTCTATGACAAACCTACAGCCAACATAAAACTGAATAAGGAAAAAAGTTGAAAGCACTCCCTCTGAGAACTGGAAGAAGACAAGGATGCCCACTCTCACCATTTCTATTCAACACAGTACTGGAAGTCCTTGCCAGAGCAATCAGACAAGAGAATGAAAGGGCATTTATATCAGGAAAGAGGAAGTCAAACTGTCACTGTTTGCTGATTATTGTATACCTAGAAAACCCTAAAGACTCCTCCAAAAATCTTCTAGAACTGATTAATTCAGCAAAGTTTCAGGATACAAAATTAATGTACACAAATCAGTAACCCTGCTATACGCCAACAGTGACCAAGCTGAGAATCAAGTCAAGAACTCGACCTCTTTTAAAATAGTTGCAAAAAAATAAAATACTTAGGAATATACCTAACCAAGGAGGTGAAAAATCTCTACAAAGAAAACAACAAAACACTGCTGAAAAAAATCACACAAATGGAAACACATCCCATGCTCATAGATGGGTGGAATCAATAATGCGGAAAATGACCATATCACTAAAAGCAATCTACAAATTCATGCAATTTCCATCAAATACCACCATGATTCTTCACAGAACTGGAAAAAAAAAACTAGTACTAAAATTCACATGAAATTGAAAAAGAGCCTGCATAGCCAAAGCCAGACTAAGCAAAAAGAACAAATCTTGAGGCATCACATTACCTGATTTCAAACTATACTATAAGGCCATAGTGACCTAAACAGCATGGTACTGGTATAAAAATAGGCACGTAGACCAATGGAACAGAATAGAGAACCTAGCAATAAACTCAAATATTTACAGCAAACTGATCATTAACAAAGCAAACAAAAACATAAAGTGGGGAAAAGGCACCCTCTTCAACAAATGGTGCTGGGATAATTGGCTAGTCACACGTAGGAAAATGAAACTGTATCCTCACCTCTCACCTTGTACAAAAACCAACTCAAGATGGATCAAGGACTTAAATCTAATATCTGAAACTATAAAAATTCTAGAAGATAACATTGGAAAAACTCATCTAGACATTGGCTTAGGCAAGGGTTTCATGACCAAGAACCCAAAAGCAAATGCAATAAAAACAAAGATAGGTAGGACTTAGTTAAACTAAGGAGTTTTTGCACAGCAAAAGGAACAATCAGCAGAGTAAACAGACAACCTACAGAGTGGGAGAAAATCTTCACAATCTTTACATCTGACAAAGGACTAATATCCAGAATCTACTAAGAACGCTAACAAATTAGCAAGGAGAAAAACAAACAATTCCATCAAAAAGTAGGCTAAGGATATGAATAGACAATTCTCCAAAGAAGATATACAAATGGCCAACAAACATTTGAAAAAATGTTCAACATCACTAATGATCAGGGAAATGCAAATCAAAACCACAATGTGATGTCACCTTACTCCTGAAGGAAGAGCCATAATCAAAAAATAAAAATAATAATAGACGTTGGCATGGATGTGGTGAAAGGAGCATTTCCGTACTGCTGGTGGGAATGTAAACTAGTACAACCACTACGGAAAACAATGTGGAAATTAAGGAACTAAAAGTAGAACTACCATTTGGTCCAGCAATCCCACGACTGGGTATCTACCCAGAGGAAAAGAAGTCATTCTACCAAAAAGAGGTTTATTCACGCACGTTTATAGCAGCACAATTTGCAATTGCAAAATCGTGGAACCAACCCAAATGCCCATCAATAAATGACTGAATAAAGAAACTGAATAAAGTAATATTCCATATATAATGGAATACTACTCAGTCATAAAAAGGAATGAATTAATTGCATTCCCAGCAACCTGGGTGGAACTTGAGACTATTATTCTAAGTGAAGTAACTCAGAAATGAAAAACAAAACATTGTGTTCTCACTCATAAGTGAGAGCTAAGCTATGAGGATAGAAAGACATAAGAATGATACAACGGACTTCAGGGACTCGGGAGAAAGGGTGCACAGTGGGTGAAGATTAAAAGACTGCATACTAGGTTCAGTGTACACTGTTTGGGTGATGTGTGCATCCAAATCTCACAAATCACTACTAAAGAACTTACCCACGTAACCAAATACCACCTGTTCCCCCAAAACCTATCAAAATAAAAAATTTTAAAAAGAAAAAAGAAGAATACAGCTTGGATCACATAAGCATGGATACAGGCATCAGCAGCAACCACACCACCACCCACTCCTAGCATCAGAATATTCTCAAACTGAGCCTTGGCTTGAGTCATAATCCAGCATTTGTTTGTGGGACAGGCAGCCAGGGCAGATACTTTGGGGAAAAAAAGAGCCCTTCCTGTTTGCTGTGCATATGTTCATACCAGTTCCCAGAATTGACCTGACAAATATTGACCAGGTTGCTGCAATCTTCAAACACCATTTTCCTGTGGGTAGACGTGATGCAGTGCTGAAGACCCGGGTCCCCGCTCAGTGACTTTGCTCTGTGAGTACTGTGCCTGTGCCTAAAATGAGGGCAGGGGCAGCAGCTGCCCCCCTCCCTTCTCTCTCTCTCTCTCTCTGTGTATCTCTGTCTCTATCTCTCTCTCTCTCTTTCTCTCTCTCTCTCTTTTTCTCTGTTTCTTTCTCTCTCTCTGTGTGTGCATGTGTGTGTGTGTGTGCGTGTGTGTGTGTGTGCATGTTCCTGGCTTTGGTGGTAGGGATGGGAGAAGTAAGTCCCTGAAGAAGAAATACAACCATGTACTCTCTCTGAGTCCTCAAGGAAGGACTTCAGGTTTTCAATCATCTTTTAGGGAAAACTTGGCCCCTAAGAGTTTTGAGAGAAGAACCCCAAATATTTCTGGCATTAGACAAGAAAATGAAACAATACAACCCAAAGCACAATGACAACAATGCTGCAGCAGATTTACTAGGAGCTGCCCTGTGAAAAGGGTGCTTAGGAGCTCTGGTCTGGAATCTGAGTCTTGCTCCTGCCCTCACCAGCTGTCTTGTCCTAACCCTGCGTCAGTTGTCCCCTGTGTACAGTAGGGCTGACAAACCCTGTGCTTTGAGGTTCTCCTAAGGATTAAATTCAATAAGACAAAGCAATGTTTCTCAAAAAGGACACCACCGGTATTTGGGCAGGACCACTCTTCACTGAATGGGACTGTTCTGAAAGCTTTCGGGAACCCAGGCTGCTCCCCAGCTAATCTCCAGCAGCATCCCTCCTCCAGGTATTGAGCTGACCCAAAAACTCACCCCTATCTGCTTTACATACGCCCCTCCCCCTACCTTTGTCAGGAACCAGTGTTACAATGCATGTAATATCCCCATCACTTCATAAACCCTTAGTAAGTGAAAATATTATACTTTATGAATACAGTTCTTAATTTTCCCCTGGGACATTTCTGGAAGAGGAATTAAGAAAAGAATTGGGCATTATTACTCCCAGGCTTGGTAGAAAAGGAAGAAAACTACCACTGAGTACTTTCGACATGCCAAGAGCTTTGTACGTTGACTGTTGTATAATCCTGAAATGGCCCCACACCTGGGAGGTGGGCAATATCATTTACATTTTGTAAATGGAGACACTGATTTCAGAGACTTGCCTTTGCACAGTACCAGGCAGTGAGTTACTGTACAACCTTGATTCCAAGGCCCCCTCATTTACAATTCAATCCTCTTTGGGAAATAGGTCCTTTGAAGTCAGGGAGTCCTTGGGGTACAGTGGGGTAGAAAATGGTGCTGAGTTCAGCGGAATAGAAAGAATAAACCAGAAATAGTTTCATCACAGTCGCTTTATTTTACGCAGGGGAAGAACAATTTTTAAATTGTTTTGCATCTGCCAAATTTCCCATCAAAAGAAAATCTGAAGTGTGTGGAAGCTGTCAGTAAGCAAGCCCACACTAAGCTGTGCTGGAGGAAGGGAGGAAATAACCTTGGGGCCGTGCTCACAGTACTTTGACCAGCAAAAGCATTTCAACATAGCAGATAATGAGAGCACCTTCGTCCATCCCTGACACCTGGCCTTTGCAGTTTGGCAGATTATTTAGGGCACCAGGGGCTATAAACCATTTGCAAAAATACAATCTCTCTTGCACTGTCACAGCATTTGCAATTGATCCAGAAGTCATTGGTTTGGGCAAAAAATTATTAAAGGTGCCAGTTAAGACACAAATGTCATCAGGGCAAACTAATGAGAAGTGATAAGGGTAGTCAGCAGTGCATGGCTGCTGTACAGTGAACGGACGATGGGAGGGGTGGATTTGAAGGGAGAAGAGAAGGCTGCCTTCCTTACTGAGGACACCAAGGTTTGGGAGGGCCCCAGCAGCTATGTGGTAGTGAGTCTTCTGCAAGAACCTGAGGATGTGTGCAGGGTGGGTGGGGGATGGGACTGAAAGGGAAAGGAGAGTATGGAACACAGGGCAGGGTGAGTA